TCATCCTGCTGGAAGATTTAAAGTAATTAATTACATACAATAAGAGGTTAGGTTAAGGAGTAACTATAAATGAATGCTTTATAGCATCTCAGGCTTAGAGATGCTGTAAAAAGGAGGATGCTTGAGTTCCTTGGAGAAAGTTGTTAGCTTCTTGTTATTTTGCTTAAGAACGCATCCTCAGCTTTTCATCATCTGTACATAGAAAGGCTTGACTCATCTGAGTTATCTGTATCTTTCTGGCAGACTCAGTAAAAGACTAAACTGTTCTCTACCTGTCAGAAGGGTTATTTTAGATGCTAAAATTAGCACAGTATATGCTCTTCTCTATTCTTCCTCCTTCCCTGAATAGCTGTCATGCAGTGTGACTGATGTGCTTTCAGTTCCACTGTGCATCACTGTCATGGGCCAGGTGTCACAGTTGCCACCAGGATTTTAGTTACCAGAAATGTAAATGTTGACAAAGTACAGTGGTAGGACTCTAATCTGAATATGCATATTGTCAGAGATGAAAAAATCTAGAACTGTATTTCTCTTCCTAGCTGTAGGTAGCCCATTCTGACAAGAAGAGCTCCTATGAAACCAGGCAGCAAGTGGTAGTTATCTAACAGAAACGCTTCTTACCCTCTACTCCTCCTCCCTTTAGTGTTGGGACTAAACAGTGTTATTGTGGAGAAGGGTTTAAAGAGAAAGCTGAAGTACTAAGAAATAGGATAAACTATATTCTGGTTGCATTGCTAGTTATCGCCAATTCCAATTAGAGTGCTGAGTCTTCTTCCTGGCATAACTGCTGCTGGCAGGACAGGCTTCAAAGTAGCTCTTGTACAGCCAGGATTTCATACAGATAATGCACAAATAAAGGACCTAGAAGAAACCTCTTTGTCCTTAGACATAAAGTTGAAATATTTAAAGAAGATTGTTTTTAGAAGTTAGTGCCTAAAACATGGTTCAGTATTTCCACTGTCCAATTATAGTGTGTGAATTACTGCTTGTGAAAGTCAGCACCTGATTTCCTTTTGAATAGTTTGTCTAAAACACAAACATAAGAAGCCATGACTTCCCCCTTCCTCAAAGCTGTGACAGAGGACATGCATACCCTACAATGGTTTGTGGCAACATTTAATGACTTGTGAAACATACACAACTCTGCAGTGTTCATACAGGGCATATTAGTTTAGGGGAAGTTCTAAAACTAGCATAAAGGTTTAGAAGGGAATGGGCAGTTTCTAACACTACTTCCCAGCAATGAAGACAGATGTTCCATTATGTTGACTAGCTTGATAAAGGAACTCTCAACACTGCATAGAGAAGCCTTTATAACATCCACCCCTTGGGGTTTATATGTTTTTGTCCTTTTGCACTAAGGAAACAGTTCCACAACTGATCTGATTCAAGCAACTACAGGTCCAAACCATTTACTACAGAGGAAGTTTAACCTGCTGTAATTCAAAAAGAATTGTAGTGTCTATGAATACAAACCAACAGCATTACATACCTCCAATGATGAGACCACAAAGGTTTGCTTTAATATGCCTGGTACTACCTTTTATTGAAGAAAACAGTAAGATTTGTTAAGTTAATAGGATTCAGATCAGGACTTCATTACAGCAAGGCCCATTAGAATGTGGTGTTTTCATGTGCTTGCAACAATTGTTGTAGCCTCACATGTAATAAACATACATTACCTTTACTGTAGTGCAAACATGCCCTTTCTGGAAAGATGTGTAGAGCAGCACAGGTATGGTCAAGCCCACATTTGTGGCCATTATTTAAGCAGGAAAGATGACGTGGCAGGAAGCCTGTGGCATCTGCATTTTACAAAGCAGCAGGACTCAACAACTGCCTGTTTGTCATTCTCCCAGCACACAGTTCAGGATTGTGTTGTTCCACACCTCTGAAAAGTCACTCTGCACAACCCTTGGTTGGCATTTTTGTGCCCCTTTTTGTTTGAGCCTGCATTTCTTGCAAATAACATTACTGCAGCTCTTTCTTTACCAAGGAAACCTGCACAGCTTGTTTTGATAAAAAATTATTACCATTCCTGGTAACAATAGCAAGGTGGGAAACAAGAGGTCTTTTAAGAACTTTGACCCGAATGTTCTTAAGTTCCATTACACTTCCAGTTATTTTCAATTACAGATACACTCTGCAGAGTACATGAAATATTTGGGATACATATGAGTTAAGGCCATTCTCCCCCAGCCATCCCCCCACAATTCAAGTCTTTTCCAGAAGTCCTTTTAAATGGAGCAAGCACCCAATGCTTGATAGCTCTATAGCAAAGACATGTTTCAACTTCAACGTTTCCAAACAGAAAGAAACAAAGAAAACATTTGACATCTCAAAGTATGCTTCACAGGTCAGTAACGAAAGACAAAATAATGCAAGCTTCTCTGTTTCCAAGCTTAAGTTACAAGTAGCATGCAGGATACTGAAACCCATTTCCAATAAACTTGTTTGTACATCAAAAAAGTGCCATATACACAGAAACCAAATCCCAGATCCTCCCCAGCCAAAAGGTAGCCTGAAAAAAATCTCCCATCAGAGAAAAAGTTGCTATTTTTCTCCAGTGGCATAACATGTGCTTTCAATTTCATTAAGCATACACCCAACACCTTAAAACAGTGTTTAACACTGACTAGTTAGCATATTTGCCCAGAGGTTCCTGCAAATACACCTCAGCAATAAGGGAAACATGTTTAAACCTACACCTAAAATACCTTCATGCTGAAAGATTCCCTTCTGTTTCCTACATAGTTTCAATTTACCCCCCTCAAAGAAGGGCCTTACAGTGCAATACAGACCAGTGGCATCCAGAAGAATTCTCATGCTTGTGTTCCCAATTATTATAGGTATTATTATTCCCAAACCCTTTGTTAGGGGAAACATACTCTTCCATCGTTTTATGTTTGTGCAGGTGAGTCCCAAGATGACTGAACAACACTGACCAACTCTTGCCTCCCCCTTAAAAGCCAGGGTCACTTGGCCCATGATAGAACTACTCTGGTCACGATTAAAGAAGCTGGAGTTTAATGATCACCTCATAGACTACAATCCAGTCATTTTTACCTCTGTGAAATTACTGCAATAACAATATTAAAGCAGAGTGTTCCAAAGTGAGAAAGCGTGTAGCTGAAGTAGCTACAGGGTATGTTTATAGCATCTCCAGTTTTCAGTTACTCCCTTGACAAAGCCTGTAGATCTTTCTTCAAACACAACATTTATGCTAAAGCTTGCTTTTAAGTTACAAATAACAAAGAAAAGTTGGACTTAGTGCATCAAGCTGCTGTCTGCCACCCACTTTTTGGAAGGTAGCTAGGGAAGTGATAAGTTTACTTTGCTGATGCCAGCTAAAGCTGAATGCTGCAGGGGCTTCTCAGGCTGACAGATGGAGGCAACAGTAATGTTCACAGCAGTTTCTAGAGTGTCTGGGGAAGTCCGAGTAGAAAACCTGAACCTCTAAATTGTGACTTAAGACACAGCTAATGGTCAGCTCCACTAAGAATTTTACAGTGCCAGATACACCTAACTCAGGTGTTTTCCTTCAGTGTTTTCTTAAGGAAATGGCAATGTATGTAAACAAGGCAGCAGTACACAGAACAGGAAGAGCAGGACTGCAGCGATGAATCAGATTCTCATTAGGCTTCACACATATCCCTAAATCAAGGGGCTGTCTTCCACAGATCTGCTAGTTTCCTGTCTTCCTACAGCTATTATTACAGGTAGACTTTCAGCATACACCTTAAAGTGGAGTATTTCACTGCCTTCCCTCTCAAGCATCCACTGCACTGTGGTCTGTGGAAACCTTCCACATCCGTCTGCAAAACCACTTAATGCCAAGCAAGTGGCCCTGTCATCACAAAAGAATCCAACAGGTTGTTACTTCAGACACACTGAGCACCAGGCAGTTCGTGACATGGCACTTCAGAGTCATCCCTGAGGCAGTTGAGGCGTATACTCGCATTTGAACTCACCAAGGTGACATTCAGTAGGTCTGGAATTAAGTTCAGCAAAATGAGTTTTGTACTTCAGTTAGTCAGCTTGTTGCTCCTTGCTAGGTCTGGCAGCAACCCTGCACCTGCAGCCTTACACTGTTAGTCACACCAGTAGTTTGACAGATCACATCTGAGGCCAAGATGTTCCCACCTTTGCCCTTCTCTGGGTGCTGTGGATAAAGCAATAAATTACACTTGAAATACCAGACTCACAGTTGGTGTGAATTTTGAAAGGGTTTCTTTCTCCTTCAGGCATTGTAGTCACAAGCAAAGTGCAGAGAAATAGTCAACTCATATAGGGAGGGGAAAAAACAACCACCAGCTTCTAAACAAGTCAGACAACTAGACAACTTTTCTCACTTCAAACCGCTAAGGTTTCATGCAAACCTTAGTCAGCAGCTTCTCTCCTCCCATTTAAATAAGCTCACCAAAAACCCCACAGCTACAACAGCAAAAGATATATTGCTCCATGCAAAATTATCAGAGCAACATGTAGTTTTGATAACCCATAATAAGTAATTTTCCTTGACAGAGACTTTCATCTGGAAGAACAAACCCCAGTCTTACGCCTTTTTTTCATATTAAAAGTGTGCTTTTTCACATTCAAGATACGGATATTCCTTAAATTGTGTGTCTAATCATATTCATCAAACTCTAAGGTCCAGTCAAATAAAACACAAGACAGCAAGCAAAACCCAGACCAGAGGAGAGTCTCCAGTAACAGATCAGATGCTGTCACCCAGTGACAAGCTTGACAGCATGTACGTTCCTTTCCTGATTCATACGCCTTATTCTGAAGGAACCCTCTCATCACAGAAATATGGAAGAGTCCATTTGGATATAAAGGTGTTGTGTTTGTATATGTCTTTAAACTGCCGACTGCATGGAAATCCTAGAAAACTTAGTCCAGTGTACAAGGAACAACAGAAAGACATTTACCTCAAAACATACCTAAAAAGACCTATATTTACCTGAAGAAACCCCAAAACAAAACAAAAAAACAAGCAGTTTAATGCTGACTGCTGAAGGCAATACCGCCTAGGTTCTTATTCTGGTGCTACAGTTAACACAGTAGTTTAAAGAAATAAGCCTAACTCTAAACTTAAGACATTTAGCAGTGCATGACCTAGCTTAATAATAATGTTGTTTTTCTGCAGGATTTATTCTGCCAAGCTAGCTGCAATGGTGATCCATGCAAAAGCTTCCTTGGTCATGCAATAAACACCCCAAAGAAATCTAGTCCCATTCAGTTACTTGTTAGAATCCAAGAAACTAAAAAGAACTTCTCAAAGGAAAATAAAAAGGGGGGGTGGAGGGGGATTAAATCACCACATAATAGTCTGTGAAGTGCACCTCAGCTGATGTTATTTCCCTAAAGTAGGTCAGAATTGGGTATTTAAGATCTACATGTCTACATACATACAGTGTCCCTAAGAGTATTTTCAACCCCTGAAAGATTAAGTGGTTATAGGCTGAAACAGAAACATGCTCTTTCTCTGCACACCTGGTATGTATGCACTCCACTGGACCAATGGATCAGCACCCATTTCCTTTTATTCCACGCATTTATGCTGACCCACCTCTATCCATTTTTGTGACTTTTTTTTTTGTGTAAGCTTACATTAAGCATCAAACAGGAAATAGTACCACGTGTTACTAATCTTGCAACAGTGGTTGGGCAGCTTCAGTATGTTTCATTTGCATGGTGTTTGCTTGGATGAAGATAAAATGCTTAACGAAAATTGCAATAAAAACCATAACAAGAAAGCTGCCTAGAAAGACTCCTAGAACAGTAGCATAGGTGTCTGCTCCAAAGGGAACTTCCTCAGCAAGTATGTCTTTCACAGCGTTGAATGAGCCATTGTGTGGCAGCGGGTTAATACCAAGCAGATGGCACAATAAAGGATACAGGTCTGTAGAATTCATTACTTCTTTAGTGGCATTCTTTCTGAAAGCAGGCCCAAATGCCAAAAAAATGGGATGCATTTCTGGTAACATGTTGTCATATCCATGATTACCAGCTGGAAATGAAAGACAGATAAAGGTCAATATTCTGAAGCTGCAAAACAAGCATTAAACTTTTTGCTAAAACTAACAGAACACAGAAAAGCAACAGACATCATTTAGTCTTCCACAAGTTTTGAAGAATCATTTTGATAAACAGCATAAATGTCTCCCAGCAAATACCAAGTCTCAGAACCACAAAGAGAAAATGCCTTAGGAAAAAGAATGGAGAACACTATTTTTAAGGAAGAAAGAAAAATTAAAAAAAGGCAGGCTCACGGGGCAGTAACAGCGCTGCCAATGGCATGTTGGGCTACACCCAAGTTTCATTGATTTTGCCTAAGAGAAAACTCCAACTTTGCAACTCTACCAGATCTCCTGGGGGGAGAGAGGGAGGAAGGGGAAATCCATGTAAAGACAGACTGACTGCTAGTAGCTGACAGAACTTAAGCTGTGGCTGCTTGGACGCTTTGTCCACTTTTGTGCATGATCTGCTCATCAACAAGGGAAAAGACACTAGTGGGTCTCCAGTGCCTTGCAGGGCACTGAGAACCCTGCACATGTAAATACACCTGTAAGCACAAAAAGCTGCTCTCATCATCTATCAATAACTGAAGTATTTGTCTTACAGGAAATACCCTTCAGCTACATAACCAGCAGCAAATTTAAAAGGTTTCTAGTTAAGAAAGTTAAGAATTGACAATATGACACCTTTATTTTTCCTCATAGCTAACCAAAAGCTACAGTTTACTGTCTCCATTCTACCTATAATAAAAGTGAAACCCCAAGGAGAGGAACTGAAATGTGGGGATTTTTTCCTCCAGGTCACCTAGAATGCATCTTAGCCTACAAGGTAAACGACAATCACTGCTGTACAGTAAAATACAGCATTTAAGGACTCTTTCTAGCAATAGAATAAGGTTACTGTAAGCAAATACATCCACAGAAAATGAGGACTTTCAGAAAGCATTCTTGTATTTCCAATGCAACGCCTCTCCAGCAAATAAATAGTACCTGATAAAACAAAGCAATTCATCCTCTACTTGGCAAGCTCACTTACAACTTTTAGTTTCTTTTTAATCTCTCAGAAAGTGCTTGTCAGTTTGCTAGATCTCACAATAAGACCTCAAGTGTGAGGCCGCTACAACACGTGAATGATCATATCTCAGTGAGTTTTATTTTTTGAAATGGTAAGTCCAGTTCCTCCTCCCTCATCCCATGGGAAAAAAATTAAATTCCACACACTTAACTACAGAGTTTTCCATCCCAGTCTTAAAATAACCAAAACACTGTAAAGACAGAATACTTACATTGAATAACATCAAACTTATTATACACAATTTCCCATCCTTTATCAGCCACTGCTAAGATTGGCTGAATTCTCCTGTTGTGTTTGTAATGTAATCTATCTGGAATCTGCTCCTTTTTATATACAGTCATGTTGGGATGAGCATTGGCCAAAGCTTCATATACTTCATCCAGTTTGCCTTCAAAGAAACAAAAGACAAAACTTAAACATAGCGGTATGCTTACTGAACTCATCAGCAGATTAAATACAATTGGAATAAGAGGGCAAAATGCACTTCCCCAAAAGTTAATTATATCTGTAAGAGACAAGAGCGGATTAAAACGTGCACAGAAGTTACTGTGAGAAATCCAGAGCATCATTCACAGTGAGCTCACACCTGGCACTGGCCTTCACAGCCTATTCCCAAGCAGTAAGTCCTAATTTAAAAAAAAAAAAAATCCCTGGTTTCATAGTTACCAGAACATAAGCTTCTGACAGGAATGAGCCAGAAGCATTCCATTAACACTCACGGAAAAGAAACCAGATCCTCCTAGCTCCATGCAAAGCTTGAAAGCGAGAAGATAGCTCCTAAACCTGTTCATGAGGTAACGCACATGTTAAGGCCATATTCCGCTTCCCCTCAGTTGGCTATGACAACAAATGACACTTCTTTAAATCAGTTTAATTGTTAACTGCTTTCCTTTAGAAGGCCACAGAGAGCACCACTTTGTTTCCTGGCATCTCTGAAAACTTACTTCTGAGTGAACCCAACTATTTTTCTTCTACAAGACGCTCCAATAAGCAGCTACATATCTGACCCCATTTGATTCCCAGTTTTGATCTTCTACCATTCTGATGACACGTTTAGCTGATTTAGGAAGAGCAGGTAGTTTTTTTGCTCTGCACCACGCATCACAGTATTAGCAATTAATTGCTTAGGGATAAGCACAACTGGCTTGTATTAATCTTTTAACAGAAGCCCTCAGGTCACAGTTCAGACACCATTAGTGTGTTAGGAGCTGTACAAAGATTTCAGAGGCCTAAGCAGGGAACAGGGGACAAACAAAGGGACAGGCTGGACTGACAGGTGAAACAGCACTTCTGGCCTAGAACTGTGTACTCAACAGCAGCTAACATCGCTACACATTCGCTTGTATTCTTAGCTCTACTCTTTTCCTTTCCCTAGTCATCTGCTGCATAGGGAGTGTAAATCCTCAAGAGCTGTACTAACAAATAAATAAGCATTTTCCACTGCCAATTCTTTATTTCCTTATTTCCAGTTTCTGAGCTTTTCTTTCCAGTAAAAGTCACTGAACAGTTGGACAAGCTGAACACCACCAGCGAGCAGGAAGGAGGAACCAGGACATCAAGACAGTAATACAAAAGCAAGTTCAACATCCTACATCTGAGCAAGTTTCTTCAATTCCACCTCCATGTTGGCCAAGATTCCTGTTAAGGGCTATGCAGCGTATATAACAGACTTCTGTTAGGCACCAAGTAACTCAGCTCCATGACTTATTTAAGTACTTTGTGCTACTACACACATGTGCAAGTCAGTCAGACAGCAGAGTTCACAGCTAGTCTCCACAGGCCAGTTTCAGCACTACAAGGTCTGAAGCACAACTGGAAGACTTTTACATTTCCCTTGTGGCCAACACTGCCATTTTTAGCAGATAAGGGGAATTTTAAGTACATCCTGTCATTTTGACAACTTATTTCTGTCTAGTTCTGCCTTCACAGCCACATCTTGCAGCAGGTGTTCCTCCAAGTGAGCTCTTCCCTGAGTGTCTATCCCAAGAAACAACTGCCTTGACCACCAGATCAAGTGCTTAATTTGACCTGTCTGATGCTTCCTGAAGTATACCATTTACTGCATGGAGTTTTGCATGTATCTCGGGGGAAAAAAGTTTGGGAGGAGGTAACCAATGACTTCAAAGAAAACTTCTCCATTTGCCTCCTCAGTTCCTAGGATCCGGTATGGAGATTCTGAAGGAAAACTGGAAATGGATTAATGTATAATGTTACTTAACTCAAACTGGCATAAAAGAACTTTAACCATAAAAGAAAGAAACTTAACAGTCTTGACAATAAAGGTCAAGATGAGACAGCAGAAGTCCAGATATGATAGAGACAGAGCAACAGGGAAAAAGACTCCAATCTAGCATTTCTAGTATTAAATTAGTAACAAAACTAATTTTGTTATGCCACTTTTCTATGTGGGATAACAGAGAGGAGAAGCCCCAAATACAGCAAACTATGATTTTTACACTAAATTAACTCTTTGAATTAATGTATTACGTTATATGCAAGAAAAGAGGTCAGCATCACCAGCTGTGCTATAGGTACCATGTTCATGAACATATGCTTAGTTCCACACACACTAATACACCATCACAGTTAAAGAACAGCTTTAATCCATCTCTCAGGGAAGAAATATGCAGCCAAACAGTAAAAGCAGCAGAAACTGCTGCATGTTGAAGCATTCAAAATTTTTCTCAATGTCTCACTAAGTTTTACAAGCAAGACAAATAACTCAAGGAATCAGTCTTAGGTACTTGTTATTTCATACCTAAATGGTTTATAATAAAAATTACAGCTGGTAACACAAAAGGAAGGACTTTTAAACGGCCTCAAAATTAATTCTTGTTTATTGGTAGTGTAATAGATACCTGAACCTCTCAGCAAAATCAAACCCAAGCTATTTTGGAAATGGCTTTTTTACTACTCTGTCATCTAATTGCTGCAGAGATACTATTTCTTTTCAGCATCTAGCAGGAGAATCAGGTTATGCATGTTTTAAGTTCTCATCTACTGCATTAGGGATGTTTCAGCACTAAAGTTTACCTTTACAACTCCTTTATCTGGTAATGAGAACATCCTGATCAACCTTGTTTGGCTCCATTAGAATGGGACTCCCCAGCTCAGCTCTTCTATCACCACTGACAGAAACAGCACTCAGATAGAAGAACCTGATTGCGCTCAGATAGCAAATGACTCAGTCTGGATGTACTAACCTTTTAGTCTGGAGTATTCTTCAAACTAAAAAATGAGAGGAGACATTTGTTTACATATTTAAAGGTCACGTAGGTCTGCAAAATATCCTCTCTGCTGGGGCATTAAGTAGAGTGCTATCCACTAGTAATGCAAATGTTACAGGCATGCCTTTCCAGAAGGTCACCTTAAAACTCAACTTCCAAATTAGCCCTGCTGCCCATACATAAACCTGCTATTTTCCATGTTAACACATTCGCACCAGTTATAGCTTTTGATCATCCAACTAAAGAGCAGCATCCCTACATCACTACCCTAAACATACACCTGACACTTAAGCAACACTTCAGTGACTGCAACCAGACTTCAGGTTTTGATTCCAATAGTGTTCTTGCCCATTATTATGACAATAAAAATGGTATGAACATAACTGGCTATTAAAAGTGATGGAGAAAAAACTGAACTACAATAGCTGGCAGCCGATCAAACAGAGAACACAGGCTTTCTTTTTATCACAGGTCCCCATCTGGTTTCAGTTTACTGTTTGAGTTAGAAATCTAATTCTTCCATTATGACTTTAGCCATATCATTTTGATGAATGGCAAGATATGTGACATTCAGTTGTTATCTATCTAGAACACCATTCATCCTTCATAATGCTTTTAGATTATCTTACTTTTTGTAAGCACTAAAGGATATTTGGCAATATTAGTCAACAACAGACAAATTGCTCACAATTCATTTCAGAAAGTTAATCCAGGCTTTTGACAGAGCTAGCAAAAAGAACAAAGGAGTGATCCTGCAAGTACTCCTTGCTCAAGGCTGACATCCTACTGGCATCAGTGGCTGCTGCTGCCACTTTAGTTAAGGAACAAAGTCTGTAAGTTTTCATATTCAAGTATTTTCTTCAGAGAATTTTACTGCTGTAACTCCTACCTTCTTTTGGCAAAATAGCTACCACAGGAGAATTCTCAAAGATTTTATAGAGCTCTCTATTCACATACTGATCAAGCTCAATGAGCCTTTCTGAGGAAGACTCTGACATTCCATGATCGCTTGTAATTATGACATTTACCACATCCCATAGCTTTGCTTTCTTCAGTTCGGACAGAAGATATCCCAGCTTTTTGTCAATATCACTAATTACAGGCCCCATAAGTGGGTTTTCTGGACCCAGAATATGGCCCATTTCATCAGGCTGTTCCCAGTACAGGAGACCAAAGTTTATGGGCTCTTCTGATGTAAACCAGTCAATAAGCCTAGCAACTCTATCTTCAAAGGAAACAAAATAGTTGTAGGGCATATAATACGTAGGAAAGACTCCATGTATTTTCACATCTGTCCCAGGCCACATGGCTGCGCCAGTTTTATGTCCTTCCCTCTGGTTTGTTATCCATATTGGTGTGGCTTCTTCCCAGAACTTGGAGTTATAGACAGCCATTCTGCTCAAAGAGAAAGTTTCATTCAGAATAGGATCATACATCTCATTAGCAACTACACCGTGGCTTTCTGCATAGAGACCAGTCACCATTGTGTAATGATTAGGATACGTTTTCGTTATAAACACGTTAGTGACCTGTTTGACATGAACACCATTCTCCATGGCATAATGAAAATTGGGAGTTGAGGCTTTACAGATGTAATCCCATCGAAATCCATCAAAAGATACCAGCAATACTTTGGCCTGGGCTGGCTGGAGAGACAATGTGCTTGGAAGAAATGATAAGAAAATTGCCAGGACTCTCCATAAACAGTTCATGGCTATTCCGAAAGGTATTCGTCCCTTCTTCGGAAGCAACATGGCATCTGTTGAGCAGAGACAGAACATTTGTTTGCGTTAACCTGTTTATCAAAGTCATAACTTAGTTTAAAGAATGAGTAGCTAAAATATTCCTTCTGCATTTATACAGCTTGCCTTACTGACACAAGACCTCGTACCTATCAGTTACACTGATATCCCAATTTCAGAGATGGGAAGTGAGACACTACAATTTGTTGGATGAAACTCAGTTTGCAGAGCAACTTCTTTACCCAACATCACTGCTCAACCTCTTCCTTTTTCCTTCCTGCTCCCAATACACAGGAACTCCTGCTCTTGCAATCTGACCAGTTCTTAAGTATTTCCTCTACCCAAAGTTGTAAGAAATTTTCCTATGAGAAAACTTCTGTTTGTTAAGAGTTAAGATGTAAACAGGGGCAGCTCTCACCATGAGAATAACAAGGTCCGTCTCCACCAGAATTTTATAACCCCCATAAAAGCCAATGAAGCATTAGTGCAAGAGTGGCAGACCACATACCTGCAGGGCAATGGATGGAAGAAGGAAGCACAACACGGGAAACTGGTGGAGCCTGCACCTGCACAGCCCCCATCAGGGAGAGGGAACCACCTAGAAACCATCATAGCTTCTAAGCCCCCACACTGGGTGTGCGATTACTAAATGTACAGGTAATCTAGTGGGGAATCTAGAAAACAAGCTTTGAACTTCAGACACAGTCATACATCCATTAAAAGGCTGTGCTGCTTACAAGGTGTCAGATCGGGTTAGACAAAGAGCAGCAACGTCAGTTTTCCCAACATTTTATCACATCTCTAACCTGATTATAGCTTTGCTACAAAACCAAGCTCTTATTAATCCACTTACAACCAAAGGCCACTTCTTGTGTACAGACAGCTTTACCAACAAGAACGTACACAAGTCATACAAGCCGGTGTACAGTTTAAGTTCTGACTAACCACTTATGTCCCTACAGGGATTGCAAAGAGGTCGCTGGAAGATTCAGTAGTACTGCATTCAGTGAGCCACTGGAAATACTACATCTCTCAAGTGTTTTCTGTACTCAAAGCTGTAAGAAACTGGCCTGTGAGAAAACTTCTGCTACTAAAATTCAGCTGGAAAACAGTGCTTCTGTAAGCAGTAAATCCATATTAATATCCAGAATACATTAATACCCTACTTCATATGAAAAGTTCTAGTGTAACAGGCATCTGAATGCCGCTGCAGTGATGGAACAGGATTTGTCATTCTGGTAGAACACAAGATATCTTCCATAGGGAATTTTCCTAGTCCAATTCCCAGAATTCCTCCCAATATACAGCACTGGAAACTTGGAAAACAGTGTAAATGTTCCCCTGACCTTGTGTGTCTCCCAAAATTAACATCCAGGCCTTCAGTGCTGCTAAGAATGCACTGACACTTCAGAGGCCTAATCCCCCTTCCAGCAAACACTCCAGACCTGTGGGGCTGCATCACTCCACCCCATGTGGGATTTCTTTCAGCTGAATCTGAAGGAGAACACGCCATTGTGTCCACCTGAACCCCAGCTGCCAAATTAAGTGCAGCCCGGGACTGACTAATACATTCCCCCTTCTTGGGAGTGACAAGTACGAACTTAAGTCCTCTCAAGGGAAATTAGGTCCATCCTTCTGAATTTGAGAGAGTTCATTATCACAGAATCATTAACAATACTGATGTCAACATCCCAATCCTTTAACTACGCATTTAAAACGAATAATCATGTCGTCTGTTTCCTTTTTCCTCAGGGCCATCCCATACTGGTCTCCCCTGGACACACCTGAGCACATCTACTGACCCAGGTCTCTCGGCGGCTCAGCACTATAAAGCACGGCCCTGAGGGTCTGAAGGGGCTCTGGTGGGACAAAGGCACCCGACTGCCCGGAGCAGGGAGCTGCCACACCAGCACCAGGGACGCGTCCGGCAGTGCCCTACGCAGCAGCCCCCACTCGCGGCCGCACACGGCTTTGCGGGGCTTCCTTCCCCCGGCCAGACCAGCCCCGCGAAGCACAGCCCGGTTCAGGTACCCAGCGCTGTGCACGCCAGAGGCCCCCTCGGCCCAGGGCAGCCCCCACCGCGGCCTAACCAGCCGCCTCCCCGCGCCGGAGCCCTCGGTCCGGGCTGCCCCAGCTCCTACCGCCCCGCGCCAGAGACGAGGCCGCAGAGAGCCGCGGCCCCCCATTACCTGCCGGCAGCCGCGGAGCGCGAGGACGACTCGGTCAGCCCGGGCTCCAGCCCCTCACCGGGCTGAGGCTGCGGCACGGCGCCTGGGCGGTCTGAGGAGGGCGCGGTGTAAAGGGGGTGGTGCGTGCCATGGATTAAATAGAGAAGGGCCGGGGCGGGCTCGCTGCGCTTCGGGCTGGCTGCAAGGGTAAGGCGCGAGGTTCGCTTTCTGGGAATCTGCAAGTACTTCTTCAGTTAAAAACAAAGAGAATTGATTCAGGTGTTCTTGCATCTGCCTTTTTTCTTCTCTTGTGTTGTGAGCCTCTAAACTCTCAGTTTTTTTTGTGGCAGGTACTTTTTTCGATGTTAGCGTGTTCAAGCCCCATAGCCATGCCCTGGAATCAAGGAGAATTAGTTTTTCATCCTCATCTCAGTAGAATCTGAAGGGTTAAAAATCCAAGCTGGGTTTCCCCCCTTTAACATCTGAGGGACTGTGCTATAAACAGGTACAAGCCCGTGCCTTGTGTATGTACACAAACCTGACTCTCTGGCTGTGTACAAAATCACTACTGGTGCATAGGAACATTCTTTGCATTGATCACTTCACAGCTGGCACTGCCTAACTTGTACGTCCTGCTAGTGTAAACAAGAATTACAATGCAAAGAGAACAAAACCCAGGGGGTTCAGGGGTGTTGGGTGTTTTTTCTCATCCTTACAGGATGAACCTGCTTTCTTCTTGATGGCAACCTACTGGAGCCTTCACATCTCCGACACAGCAGATCATTAGTAAGTAGGTAGAAAAGGGTTACCCGTAACCTGGGTGCAGGCTGTAATCCAGGTAAGACTCTGGCTCCTTTATGTGCGAAGGGACAGCTTGGCTTCATGAGCTCCAGATCACTGGGCTGGCCAGGCTTATGCAGGAAGGGACACGCTCAAGCTTGGGACAGTGGCAAGGTCTGATCGTTGTATCTAAATTCCTTCAGCAAGTGTGGTATCTTCCTCCCCTTCACCCCAGCTCATAGAACTATAGCAGGGGACAAGGCTCTTCTAATTGTTTTCTATCTTTACTTTTCCCCCTTTATTACTGTTGTTCTGTTACAGATACAAGATGGAGACTAGTACAAAACTGGAAATACATGTTGCTGATTTGGTTGGTAGAAGCTGTGTGGATGTGGCTTGTGTACACAGAAAACTGATTAGACCACATCTGTAGCATGAAGATCATATGGTTCCTGACCCACACCAGCAGCTTGGGAGAAAGGGGTAAGCAGGGAAATGCAATTAGAAATTTCTTTCTCATGAGACCCCCCCCGCAGTCCTGCATCCAGCTCTGGGGCTGCTAGCACAAGAGAGATGTGGAGGTGTTGGAGCCAGTCCAGACAAGGCCACAAAGATGGGCAGAGGGCTGGAGCACCTCTGCTATGGAGACAGGCTGAGAGAGCTGGGCTTGTTCAGCCTGGAGAAGAGAAGGCTCCGTGGAGATGGTAGAGCAGCTTCCAGTGCCTAAAGGGGCTGACAAGAAATCTGGAGAGGGACTTCTGACATGGGCCTGCAGGGACAGGACAAGGGGGAATGGCTTTAAACTGAAAGAAGGTATATTTAGATTATACCTTAGGAAGTTCTTCCCTGTGAGGGTGGTGAGGCCCTGGCACAGGGTGCTCAGAGAAGCTGTGGCTGCCCCATCCCTGGCAGTGTTCAGGGCCAAGCTGGACACGGGCTTGGAGCAGCCTGGTCTAGGGGAAGGTGTCACTGCCCATGGCAGGGGGGTTGGCACTGGGTGAGGTTTAAGGACCCTTCCAACCCAAACCATTCTGTGATTCTGTGGTTCTGTGAAAATTGCACCTCTGTGTACTGAAATCTCAGGCTAAATTCCCTTCAACAGCAGGGTGCTGTGTCACACCTAATAGTTAATGTTATTAGCTAGGAAATACAGTACTCACATTTACCATTCAGCTTTAATTTTGGCCTCTCGTCACTCAGATCCTGAGGCCTGGGGAACTTCAGCAGTGACCTGCACTCATCTGCAGTGGCTGGAGTTAGTCACTAGAGGGTAGAGGTGTATATGGATTTAAGGCACTGCTCTAAATAGCTGGAAATGATAATATTTGCCTTGGAAGTAGGAAATGGCTCAGCTGCTTAAAACATGTAAAATGAAAACAAAGCATGATCAAGGAGTTTGTTAATTCCACCAAAATGTTTAATACCATAATAGATTTTCATTGAAGTACAGAGCTAATGTGAATATTTGTACAAAATATGTGGTTAAAAATAGTATTGATTTATAATATATACAGATATGTCACATCTGTGTCAGAAATGCAGACACTTGAACGAAAATATGAGTAATGTTTTTAAATCTACAACAACATACATGAAATATTTCTGCAGCTACCCACAGCAGGACAACTTGCCAAACTGACACTTAAGGATCCAACAGTCATTACAGATGGCATTTCTTTCAGAAGTTTCTGAACAAGAACTTTGCTGTAAAATGGATTCAAAACATTTACCTTCATTAACCAGATAGTGAAGAGAACACACCTGTGTGGCACTAATGTAGACACAACTTTCTTGTACTAGTTAAATGATCAATTACAACAATTTGTTAAAACAAGGCTGATTTTATGGTGTAGAGTAGAGAAGTTTAATCCTTTTTGCTGGATGCTCTGGTGAGTGAGGAAGCTCCAGCTCAGGGACAGCAGATGGGCCCATCTTAATAAATTCTTATTTGTAAAACCAAGTTTCATGAATTTATATCCTGAAGTCTATCTTTAAGGTTGTAAACATCTTTGTTTTTCATTAACTTTGAGGCTGCTCACACTTCACAGCCTTCCCAGCCTTACTCCAGCAAGAATCTCACTGACAAGTGTCCCTGATTCTAAGCTTTGTAGCTACTGCATTGGTACACAATCCCCTATTAAGATGACTCTTAGCGTAGCCCCAGAATCTCTGTGTAGTGACTGAACAAACTGACAAAGGGGAGAGGCAAATCAAGGCCATTTTTTAATATTTTCTGAGCACCTCTGCAGTGGAGGCATTCAGGGTTCTTGCCCTTCCTTTGGGAGTGCTGCTGCTGTTCTACCTCAGTGCAAACTTCCCTGCAAGCCAAAACAAATATACTCAACACTTCAAATAGACGTGTGGGAAAGAGCTTTTACAATGCTTCCTCCCTTGTAATTTTAACCCTGAATGCTGCAGTCTACTTGTATTTTTTTTTTAAAAAGAGCATAGCTTACGTTAGGAAGAAAATCTTTTAAGAGAAGCCTGGAATATGTGAAAGCTGCTGTGCTCCCCCCAGATGATGTGCTAAACCAGGAAAAGCAGTGTTCTGTTTTGGGGTGTTTTTTTTAGGGTAGCATACCTAGTTCTTTGAGAGCATTGCATGAGGATGAGAATAAATGAGGGGCTGACTGGGGCTTTAATCCATACCTGGTTTTACTTTTTGGTAAAACAGAAGTAGTATTTTTTAGAGAGAGGGGAATTAAGGAAAGGCAAAGGTCTTAAATTCATATTGGTACATGAGATCAAGTCTTAAATGGCTCAATGTTGAGTGGTAAAATGTTTACCACTAAAGAAGAAACAGAAATAAACTTAGTAAGGGTTCTTTAGAGGATGCGATCTGAAAGCACTGTAACTGTAGTCAGGATGTCCACAACAACCTACTGAGGCACTGAAGCTCACTTCCAAGTGCACAGTCCAGTGCCAAGCAAGAGGGAAGAGCCACAACTGGCATGCAAGCAATGCAGCATTTCAGGGAGCAGGGGAACAGCCTTACTGTAGTTAGAAAGCTCATTTGTTGCTCAAAAGTGAAAAATAAATTGGGCCTCCTATAGTACATTTTGCTTCTGAAGAACACTGTGAGAAGACAACTATTGTTTTTTTTTTAATCAAAATACAGAGGCTAAGGTCTGTCTCTTCAAAAGGAAGCAGGGAGCTCAGAGCTTACATTTCTAGCAAGACTTATAAGCAGATCTAACTTTCAGAATCATGAACAATCATCCTTTGAGAAACAAACAATGTCTTTTATGCCAGCCACCCAGACAAAAACAATCATTTTCCAAAATGCATATCCCAGTGATGAAATACAAGTATTTCACAACACAGTTAACCAGCAAATTCATCTCCTTGTTTGCAATCCACTGCAAGGTCCAATACAAATTGACACAAGAGACTACAAACAATTACTTTCAATTTTTGTAATACTTAATGTTAACAGAACTTTTTCCCCAGCCTGGATGGGAGCTGGTTGCCATCCATGTTCCTCACTCAGGCACTCGTGCCCACCACATTTACCAGTTACTATAACAGCACAGTAAGAACCACATCAGCTGCCAGGGGTGTGCTTTTGCCCAGCAGAGGTTGTGTTCTGTTGTTTTTTTTTGCATACACCAAGCCAAATCCACAGCAAACCAGTGCAAGCTCACATCACTCTGTGAAACTGCACAGAAACAGAACATGGCATATCCTGCCAGCGAGAGGGCTGCTTCCCCCCTAATTGCTACTGAAGCAGAGTTTGGCCTAGATCACACATTTAAGCATTTTCAGTTCTACCAGTTAGGAGAGCAGTGGTATGTACCACACTAGTCAGTTATTAATACTTTAAGTCTTTTAAATGATGCTTTTCAAAATGCCAACGCAAGCAGAACACAAAAATATTGTTTGCCATATTTATTCATTTAAACTAAGCTCTTACACAAGTGTAAAAGTGATTAATTAGCCAATAGCTTTGCAGTAGTCCTATAAAATATGACTAAATAGAATATTTCAAAAGTATGTACAATAGAATGAAAATGCTCACATAAACCATCAGTGCTCAGACATGTCAGTGTCATCAGGTCTTGCAATATGGTTTAGTCTGTCACTCTGTACAGTCTTTTTGAAGAAAACTTTTTTACTGTTACTAAATAGGAAGGACCAGGGAAAAGACCAAAATATGAATAAACCCATCCACCCCCACCTGATGTCAGATCAATTAAATGTTAAACAATTTATGTATGGGGCACATATTCACACTATAAAGCACCTTGCAATAATTATGCCTGTAATCTTGGTACAGTTGAGGAAGCAATGCTCTTGCCATGTTTTCTTGCTGAAAACAAAGTGTGCTTGAGGGTGTATGGGTATGTTAGGAACGGGGGAGTTTGTACTACCTTGTCTTCATTACAAAAATCAAGGCCACAGAAATTCTTTCTTCTGATCCAAAAGCACAGATTCAAAGATACCCTTTTGCCATGCACTGTAAATATTTTCATGCTTTTAACTGTACTTAGGAAGTCATTAAAATTTTTATCTTGTATCTGAAGAGGTGAGAAAGGACAAGCAGGCAGCAGGCAACAGAAATAGCAGCTGTACTCCCTGATTCCCTGCCTTTATTTCCAAGCAACTGCAGCCATGTCCACCCAACAGCAGGCCCCAGGCCACTGCTGCCAGCTGCTCTCACAGGCTCCTGATTCAGAAATGACATTAGAAGGATGCTTCCTACATGACTGTTCAATGGCAGATGTAATGTAACAGAGATTCCATTCTTCTAACACTGTGGACATCCTGTGAAAAGAGTTTGTCAGGACTGAGCTCATAGGTGCTACATGAAAGAAAATGCCCACTGAAGTAAGCAGGGGCTCTGCCTGTGCATTACTGAATTAAACAGGACAGCCTCTCCTCCAGATGGACAGTGTGTTTTTAAAGAAGCCTTTCTTCTGTGATGGCAAGAACATGCCTCTAGCAAAATACCAGGTTGCCTCAAGAGGTAAGTGTCACAAAAGCTGCTACTTTTATGATAGGGATGCTATTCCATAATACCTGAAACATTTTTCTGTGCTGACCATTATTTTATCATGAAAATGTGATCTATAAGCTTTGACCATAGCAACAACAGGCTTCTTTGAGTTTTCAGGTTTGTAGTTGTGTTTCTATTGTACACTTCACCCAACGAGCCATGTTCCACTCCTTCCTGGGCAGTACTGAGGAGTTTTACAAAGACAATGAGGAGTCATTACATGGGACTTGTTTTTAAATCTGTCTGAAAATGCACTTTGAGGAAAGCACATCTAAGATCCAATGCTTTAATCTGCAGTATAGTTTTTAATCATTTGAGGCCAGAGTCTGTATTCCAGAATCTAGTCTCTTTGAAGTTCGAGTTCATGGATACAAGGATAAGATTTGCCTTCCAATGCTTTTGCATGTAAAAAACTCCAGAGTACCAGCTTTGATTGGAGATGATCTCTGATCACTTACATCACTTGAGAATGGGGCCAGTAATTTCTTCTATACAGCAAATCTCAACAAAAAAATCTTACGTGTTTAAATTTTACTGTCCCTGTTTTAAGTGTTCTAAACCTCATGGACCTCAGCATTGTGTATGTTCTCAAAAAGGACAGTGGTGTTACTCCTAAAATCTCGCAGGTGGCCTCTGATGGTGTTTTCAAGAGGAACACCAGGTTATAGTCCCAGGGCAGCAAGTGCCAATTCATTTATTGAAACCAATTCCAAATGCATCTCTGAGAAAGTAACTTAAGTGAAACCTCTAAGGAGTTACTTTAAGACAAGTTTACACATATCATGAAGATAGTGAAGCCTCATTTTTTTTTTCAGTCTCTGCTGTAAGAATGTGCTTCTGTTAGTGTAACACACACACAACAAGGTCCATAATGCAGTAATAAGTTTCGCACTGTAGATATATGCTAAGGAAAGCACTACATCTCAACAAGAATATTAGGGGCTGTGGTGGTCAGAGAATGAAGTGTATGAGGATGGTGAATCCTCAGGAAGGTCTTAGAATATTCTTACCATGCATGCTGAGAATGGCATCTCCACTCTTCACTAAGAACCTGCTTTTCTTCCTGGGAGTACTGCGGAGCAGATGGATGCTCCAGCAAGGGGGGCTTCACTGTGCTGAAGCCCATAGCCTCATTGCTAATTAAAGGTGGAATGGAACCCTTCCTCAGAGACCAGATCATTAGTTTTTAGGACAAAAATCTTGATTACAGAATGTGAGCTGACTTTTCAGATCCTAGAGCGAGCTTCCAGGATGCATTTAAACAGTGGAACCTCACTGTGCCATTATAGTCACTTTTGGGAGTACAGCTGCAGTTAAATTAGCTTTAAAATCCCACTGTATCTTACACATATGCTCAATTTTCTGCAGTATTAATTTCAGTGGAACTACTCATGTGCATAAATTAAGCGCATGCTTAAATATATGCAAAATCTGAGCTCAAATGTCTAGAAAATATGTTCTCAAAATGACAAGTGCGCATAATAAAAGTAGTCATCATGGAAGGTCTGTCAGACAGGGAATCCAGTATCTGCCAGCCATGATGAAAACACAGGACAGTTCTTGTAACCCAGTATACACTGCAAGTGAAAGAAACATGCAGGAGGGAGTGAAAAAAAGGGATTCAGTTGCATGCAGTCTAATTTCAAGTGTGTAATTATGGTCCTGTTTTCTTTGGCCAAAAAAAAAAAAACAAACACCCGAAATCAACAAACACCAACAAACTTCTCCTCACCTCCACAAACCCAAACTGCATACAGCTCAAAAAGGGCTTTAAAGCACACAAGTGGGGAAGTAAGAGATCTGAGTATCAGAGATGTGGAAGTAATTATTAACAGTTTCAGGGCTACTCAACACACCACTAGGAAAGCATTACGCCTGTATCATTACTAGAACTTACAGCTATGACAGAGAGCCATCAGTTAACTTCTCTTTCTTCCTCAATCTCAGGGAGAAGTACCACTCATATCTTTATGGAAGACAGAACAACAATTCCTGTTGATATTTTGGCTCACTCCTCTTTAAGAGAAGGACACTGGACCCTCCAGCAAGCTGCTGTCTCTCCCCTCAGCCCAGAGAGCTCTATTTCACATCCCTGCCACCATTAAGGACCAGTGAGCTCTACTGGTGGGAGAGGGTGTTTCTCTGCTGCTCCCAAAAATGCTGCAAAGGTAGTATTCCTTACAGAAAACTCCAGGGGGGTGAGAAGGCCACCGAGCTGCTAATAGATTAAAAACAACACACATCCCCCCCCTTAACAAAAGAATTACAAGGAAAAAGAAAAGACTAAGGTCTGCAGGGGAGCTGGGAGGGTCAGAGAAGCTGGCTGCTCAATGAAGGGCAGTAGCAAGTATTCTGGGAGTTTGAGTATCAAGCCCGGTATCAGCCTAATTGCCAACCTGAACAATCTCTCTGGTAGTGGTGTTTCAGCATGCAAATTAGAGCTGTGAAAAAATCCTCAGACCAAAACCCTCCCTTGTCTCTTCAGCCTTGTTTTGTCCTTTCCAGAAAAACCTGTCCGTTGGTGTGTGATATGGTTACATATACAAAGATCTTTTTCCTAGCCCTTTGATTACATAGGCTTGATTACTGTGAAGGGGTTTCAACGAGTAGTGTCCTGGAACTCAAAAGGCGATGGCTGCCTTTCAACAAAACAAAGCAAACAAAAACCAAGAGCTGTGCTGGAGGAGAGAAGTGCTGCTTCTGCTGGAGAGGCTCAGTTAGATACAGGAGGTGGCAGACCAGGGCGTCGAGTTTGAATGATTTTTGGCTTTGGAGAATTCTTTGGGTCCTCATCTTCTTCCATGTCACTGTCGCAGACATGCACTACCACACTGGGAGTGGACTCTGTTCCTGCATGCAGCTCATACTTCTCTCCTGGAAGCAGAGGAGAACAGTTAGATCAAAAGACAACAACAGTCCACATAGTAGCACAGGCCATGGCACTCTTGGACTGCAGAATATTCCTGCACCTGGATGCGGCAGATGAGCTTGTGCTGCTCCTAAATGTAGGTGAGGGCAAGCATAGCTAGACTGCAGCAGCTGCCACAACTGATTGATGCCCTGGGTGGGGCATGATCATTGGTCTACAAGGCATAATAAAATACCCTGATGTCTATACCCTGACTGGTGTTTTGCACCAATGTCAGTGGCCCATGGCATCAGTGGGGGAAGGACAAAGAGGAGAGAGAACATGGAAGTTCATGCTTAAGAAGAGGGACTGGATGTTGGGTTGGGGCTGTCTTTTTCTGCTGTTGGCTCCAGTCCCATTTAAAGCCCCTAGATTCTGCAACTTGTCACCTCCAGAGAGACATCAACACTTGGTCCAGTTGCTCCAGAAATACAAAAATACACATATCTGCTTTAGATGGATTTTGAAGTCCAAAGCTCTTTAGCCATGGCTGTAACAAATTCTGTCTCTGCAGATGAGGTTACGGAGTAGGCTATAAATGCTCACTAGCAGGCAAAACAATTAAACAGTACATTAGATTTGCTAACTACATACATTTCCTATTTAAGTCTGCACACAGTACACCTGCAAGGAAGATAAGGGTGACTTAGGTGGTTACCTGCAGCAGTCCACAAAGGAAAATCAGTATCAGACATAGGACTTTCAGTCCTGCATTCAGTCTGTTGGCACTGCATTGTGTTTTGGAGTGTACATAGGATCTAAGTAGGTACTGGTTATTAGATTGCAAGGAATTAATTTAAGACTGTAAGGAAAATACCCTAATGGTGACATGTCTGACAGCATGACCTGGACTTTCAGAACTGACAAACACCCATCCACTGCACTAAAAACTAGAAACCATTTGAGATAATGCCCTGTCCCCCTTGTCATCACTCTTATCTCCCAAGACCCACAAGTTACATTAAAACAGGCTTACAGTGACCATATGCACACCTCATAGCTTGGATTTTTTTTTCCGTAAGACTGCTCCAGAACCACTGCTTTTTGCCTGCAAAATACTCTGAAACGAGGAAGGTGAGGTCCCAATACACTGAGCTGGCCTGAATTTGTGGTGCAGCAGCGCCTAAATGCCTGCATCACTGGCAGAGCCTGGCAGTGCTAGGTGTTGCACTATGAAAGTGAAATGGCCGCTCTACCCCAAAGCACTTGTAGTTTGCTGGTGGTGTTAATTTGGGATTCTATTTATAAGCAACTTTGTGGCAGAGTGATTCCTGTGAAGAAGAGGCTGCAGGTTTGTCCCCTCATTAGCACACGCAGTTCTGGGACTGTGCTCACATGCTGTTTGTGCTGACAAATTCTTGGTCCAGATACGACCAGGCAGCTTACGATTAGAGGACATGCTGCATTTTTGCCTAAAAAATCAGAGGCAAACTAGTGAATAATAGCTGGAAGTCAGGCATCTTGCTGTGAGAAATATTTTACTGCTGTGATACCATTAATGTTGACATTTAACTGCTCTATTTTTGGCTACCTTTCCTCTGAATCCAAATTGAGCAAAGCATTACAGGTCTTGCTGATAGGCTGAAATATAAAAAGAGGAATAGCTTGGTTGTGCTGCACTGAGAAATTATACGGTTTTGCTTTGCCTATTTTCCCTGCGGGCTTCAGCTAATTTCTCAGCTCTGGGCTGACGTCAATGCTGCCAACCAGCACTGAAGGCTACATTGGTCACTGTCAGCTACAAGCAGCTCTGCAGTGCTGTGCGCATGCAGCGCCAGGCCCTTTGCTCATACACCAGCACTGAGAAGTAAATCAGATTCACTGCCCTCTTAAAAGGTAATAATCGCAGTTCAAATGCCACATTCTTTTACTGTTCAAATCCTTCCCAGAAGGGCTCTTTCCGCTGAAAAAGAGCAGTGAAAATAAGTACAGACACAAGGAAAAATATTCAGATGCCTCTGCCACAAGTAACTGCAATAGCAATTAATGTCACTTTGCAAATCAAAATGCAATGCTCCCATAAATTAGGGTTTTAAGGGACACAGTTATTTTTGAGCATAAATGAGCTGCAGACTCAATTCTGTACTCACAATTATTCATGCCTGCAGAACTGTGGCTCAAACTGCAGAACACATTTTTATGGCTCAGCTAGGAACAGTAACTAAGGGACTACTATACAGCTGTACTTTGTTCCTAAAGGTAACCATTGTTTGGGGAAAAATAATAGGGTAATAAGTACAAAATAAAAATCCATTCGGTACAGCCAGATTACATCTTCCCTTCTGCTTTTCACTATGTTTTTTTCCTTTCCTCTTAATGCCTTCAGCATGAAAAAAGAACTAATTCCACAGCAGCTAAGCTACTGGAATAATGGTTGAATCGCTGCAACTGAGATATAGTTACAAGCTATAGGTTGTCCCAAGCTAAAAGTAGCAGGTCGAGTTAGTATAGATAAGATTATTTAAATAATCACATAAGCTGATGTAACAGTGGAAACACATAAATTTACTCACAAAAATATCACCCAATTTATGCTCAAGCATTTTAACTCTGCCTTTGGGTTACAATGCAGAGAAGAACTAAGCTGCAGCACCTCCATCACAGAGGTTTGTCAGAAAATGTTCCTAACAACCCCCTGAAAATAGCAGCGATGTTCCTTTCCTTATTTGATAAGAAGAAAACCCAGGAATTTGAAGTTTCACCGTTCAGCAATGGGCCTAGCTGCTTTTGTGTCACTTGGCACTACCTTTTGCAGCCACACTAACCATAAGCAAAGCTACAGCTTCAAGTGACACAACAGAGATGACCACAAGAACAGCACAAAAACAGTGTAGGGTATTTCAGAATTAGAGATAATGGTATGTGATTTTCTATCCCTTTCTGGATCAGTACTGTGACCTTTCGTTGATGGTGCACCTCTCATACAATGAGGCACTTTTGTCCAGTAAAAAGGATGTTCATATATTTAATTAATAATGAAGAAATGGTAATGATACTGTGCAGTTACCTCATCCCTGATTCTGACTCGTGATCAAAGGTTAATGGGTTCAGAGCTGTCCATTCCATCTTAACTATGTCACTGCCATTATAAAAAGACCTTCCACTTACAGTCTCTTAACGCAAGTGCTTTACAAATAATATGGTGCAAATAATGTTGGTCCTTTGTATGGGTGCATGTTTATGCCAAGGAGAACCCATCCCGTGTAAAACCTCTGCTGCACGGATCTGCCATACACAAAATAGAGGAGTTGCTTTCTGGAAGCCCATTGCTGATATTGCAGAAGGGCACCCTCCTCTCCTGGCCAGAAGAAGGCAGAGGGAAAGCTTTCTACACCCAGCAGCTCTCCTGCACCTGCCCCTGGCAAGAGGAGGGAATTGAAGAAGCAGCCACAGAACAGAGAGGAAGGACAGAGATGGAAAATGTTATCTATCACCCATCTTCCTGCCCCTCCAACCCCTTTAATCCTCTCTGGAAGCCATGCAAGGTATTTAGCATTTCCTTTGAATCACTGAGAACAAACAGGAGGGTTTGACAACAGCTGGGCATGGAAAACTTGCCATGGGAGACACAGTTTGAAATCCCTGTGTGTGGCATTTTCTGGGTAGGGTCCTGCTCTTCCCTGTTTCCACTTTCCCCATGCAAGGGTGAACCAAACCCAGGGGCAAGAGCTATGCATCCTCCTCAAGGAAGCCAGCAGGACCATGGCAGGAACAGCCACATCTTAACTGCTCAAAGACAACAATGAAGCCCTGACCCAGCCCCTCTTCTGACCACTGATCATTCGCAGACCCAGCAGCCAAACAACACAGCCTGCTGCAGGGCCTCCTCTGTGTACCCAGAGATACCACTGTGGACACAAGAGCCATCGTGTGTCATACTTTGGAATGGTGCTTTCATAGTGTGAAAAAATGTGCTTTACATGACCTGGAGCGTAGCCTGAGGGCACTGAGGAGGTGCAAAGCCTGCTGAAATGCTGATGACAGACTGGGAAACCTGGAGAGAACCGAAACTGGTACAAACTTGTCTATAGGGGCTACTAGAGATGATGCCCAGCCTGCACTGGTTTTCAAACATGCCTGAAATCATGGGGACGAGTGCTAACTGACAGAGGCAAAATCACACTGGGGAGCACATGGAGCATGTGAGTGCTCAGGATCCTGACCCACAGTGTGTGTTACTGTATAGTGTGTGTTACTGTACAGTGCAGAAGAAATTGGGGTGACAGGTTTGAAAGAGGCAGTGGGGGTAGAAGGGAAGAAATACACAGGTTAGGAAGTGGACAGGGAGAAGGTAGGACTGCTTTCCAGAAAAGGAGGGGCTTATTCTAGTGCCATGAGGATGGTTCATAAACAAATGGCAGAGCAAACATAGCTGCCTTTTCTTTGCTAGGAGCAGCTCTGCTGTTTATACATAGCCTAGACCTGGAGACTGCCCCTGTATCCCCCTTACAAACATTTCTCATATGAAATTATTTCCTGTATTCCTCATCAGGATGAAACTAAGACCTTATAAAACATTATGGAAAAGACATGAGGGCTTAGACTAGGCAACAGCTTGGTAGGTTGCAAGCATTCCTGTAGGAAAGACGTAGGTGACAGCCAGACCAGGCAGAGACAGAATCTGGGCCTGGTAGGCAAACAGCCAAACTACCACCCCAGTTAGTGCAATGCTTTTATACCTTTGACAAGCTAGTGGAAGTTCTCTTGACAGTGGAAGTGTTTTTCATTAGAGAGATTAACATCACGCTTCTTTATTTGCAATATATTGGAAAAATCCTAGGCTGGTGGTCAGAACCAGGCACAGGCACAGTTCCTGGCTCTGAGTGGTCTACAGCATTCTGTTCATGCTTCATTTAAAGCTCAACTTCTGCATTTGCAGAGAGTGACAATATACATCAATCAACCAGAAACTTTATTAAATATGCCACGATCCTCCCTAAGAAGTAAATGCACCCTCACTGATTTTAATTGAATGTTGAAGGAGCACAAGCCAGCTTCCCTTTGTGCACAGCAGAGATCTTTTCCATTAGAGCTCTGAGATGCCAAACAGCCACTGCTGTAAACCACAAGGAAAAATACAACACGTAGCAAATCTGTTAACTAGCTACCAGCCTATTCACGTTAGTCCAAAGCCAATGTCCCAGCCTTTGTGCCCAGGATAGAGAGGAGATGACCTGTACTCATGGAAGGGGAAAGTAGCATGGGTCTGTGTCCAAGTGGTGTATCTCACATTACCAGCAAAGTAGGTCAGTAAACCCCATCTTATATTGATGAGACAGAAAGAAACTGTTCACTATTTACATGCTTAAATGAATTTTCCTGGTACTTGGATATTGTCACATGTTAAAGACATGGAAGTCAAGCTCCAACATTCAGAGTCAGTCAGCATTTTTTCATAGCTGTTAACCATAGTTACATGTTTTAATTGTGTTTCTTGAATGAAAATAAAGGATCTAACATAGCTGAGGCCAACAGTTGATGTACAGCACTGTGTTTTACTGATTTCCTACTGAGAAATGAGGTTTGGTGGATTTGTTTTCAATGGAATGCTAAACACAGTAAATGCACAACTGAGAACTGCAACACTATTTTAAATCCGGCACTGCAGTTAACTAAAATTGATCCCTCTAACAAGTGCTAAAAATAGAAAGACAAGAGCACACCATGACTTTTCATATTGCTCCCTTCAGGCTCCTTAACTATGGGTGAATATGACCTTCACGCAAAGCTGTCCCAGAGGGTGGGACAATGAGTGATATTTCACATTCCGCTGCTCCAGAACAGGAATTGATTTATTACCCAGCTAGCTTGGGAATTCGTTTACGTGTTTCCATTTATAACAGTGCTGCATCAAAGGAAAAAAAAAAACCCAAAAAACAAAAAGGAGACTTTTGTTTTTTCGTTTATTCACCAGTTTGGAAGTAAAGTATCAATTCTGGAAATAATAATACACAATACAGTATGAAGCGTTATGCCTGACAACCTTTTTCTATGAGCTGTCCTGCTGAATGGGAATAAGCCGCAGGGATCTCTGATGTTCTCCTGATCATGCATTTTCCCCCTGTGAGAGATCCCATTTGAAAAAGATGTGAGATAATCCTGCACCTCAGCTCTGGGTTACTCTGGTACAGCTACACAAAGGCCCCAGTGATAAGATGCTTGCAGTTGGAAGCTACTCTCAGAACAAGCAAGCAGCATAATTGGTTCAACTGCAGAGAAAACAATTCCCTCATCCCACTAGAATATAAAAACTAAACTGATAAATTTTCATTAACTCAGCCACCCCCCAACTGTTATTAGATTACATATGAAGTGTTTTATTTCAGCATGAAAGTAATTTAATAAGCTATTTATCCTTGTGGTTTATGAATGTAAATTGGACCAGTTTCTAAGTAATATTGCTTAGACCTGAAACTGGAACCTTTTCCCTTTTGAAAATTTTAAAAGACAGTGCTTTAACAGCTTTGAAAGAAAACTGTTGTTAAAGATGCCTTAAAACAAAAATAATCCTCTCCTAGGAAATTTTTTGGTTTCATCAGATGAGCATTTTCTAAGGTAAAGCTTTGTTCTGAAAATCCCAGCTAGCTTCACTTCCTGGCATTAGCTGAAGATGGGGAGAAGAAAGCCTATCAGCATTACCCACTGACATGTATCTTATGTTCACAGAGGTTACAGATTACCAACCATTCCTCCTCCACACAGTTTACAAAAAAAAATGGGCAGTCCTAGGAGAGCAACCCTGCCAGGATTGGGGAATGGCAGCTCTCTCCACTCCAGGGGAAATGCAGTGATGCCTAAACATTACATAAGGTATTCTGCACCTTAGAATGCAGTACTGAGCAGATGTGATTTAAAGCAAAAACTCAAGTTCATGGACAAACATTTGTCCAGTCCACACCTAAACCATCAGTTGCCTCATCTAAGCACAGACCCAAGCATAATAAAATGCGTAAGCAGGCTTTGATATGCTATTCAGTCAGACATCACTAATGAGCTGCAGATAGAATTTTGTATGTATATATGGTAAAATTCACCCTTAAGCAAAGAACCAGTTGACATGCACCAACTTAAATCCAAAGCTTTAATGCCACTTACAGGCTTTATGCCAACTTCCTTACAGTTATTATCTACGCTGCTATTTCTCATCTCCTTTTTCTGACACATTTTCACACAAGAACCACATGCTTACCTGGTCCTAGCTTAGAAACTGCATAAAGGAGGTCGTAGTTGATGACAGGTGTTGCATCATCTATTGGTTGCCACCCTACAGGTGGGGAGGCTGGAGGCGAGATGAGAAACTGTTTTGCAGGCTGCGGTGGTGCCAAATGAAGCTTGTCTCCATCTGTCTCAGAGGTCTGAATCTTTAAAGAATAACAAATACATTATTTAGTATAGGATAGAATCATACAATATCTTGGGTTGGAAGGGACCTTTAACGGTCATCTCATCCAACCCCCCATGTAGGGACATCTTCCACTAGATCAGGTTGCTCAGAGCTTTGTCCAACCTGACCTTGACTATTTTCAGGGATGGGGAATCAGTCACCTCTCTCTGCATAACCTGTGCCGGTATCTCACCACCCTCATTGTAAACAATTTCTTACTCACATATAGTCTCAATCTCCCCTCTGTCAGTTTAAAGCCATTTATCCCTTGTCCTGTCCCTACAGGCCCTTGTAAAAAGCACGTCTCCAGATTTCTTGTCAGCCCCTTTAAGCACTGGAGCTGTTCTAAGGCCTCCCTGAAGCCTTCTCCAGGCTGAACAAGCCCAGCTCTCTCAGCCTGTCTCCACAGCAGAGGTGCTCCAGTCCTCTGAGCATCTTCGTGGCCTCCTCTGGCCTTTCTCCAACAGCTCCACCTCTTTATGTTGGGGCCCCCAGAGCTGAACACAATACTCCAAGTGGGGTCTCACAAGAGCAGAGTAGAGTGGGAGAATCCCCTCCCTCAACCTGCTGGTCACACTGCTGGTGATGCAGCCCAAGGTACAGTTGGTTTTTCCAGGTTGCGAGGGCTTATTGCTAGCTCATGTCCAGCTTTTCATCCACACGGGATGGGTAAACGGAATGATTACTCAGATCATACACTTCTAATGCCAAATGCCACACAGAGAGGGTTTCAGTGTCAGTCTCAACAGAGAAGGTCTGGAGATGAATTTCATTTAAATGCTACAGATGGTTCCTCTACAGTAAATGCACTGGGGGGGGGGGGGGGGGAGGTGGGGTGTTATATGAACAAAGCTACAATGTTTGTGCCTATTGTACATGTTCTGTGAGGATAAATGCAAAGCTTTGGTATCCAGAGCTGCTAGTTCAGAGATTTTTGAGACTGAAAAGATAATTGTTGTGATCTACTGGTCTAAATTCCTAAATAAAAACAGATGTTAGAGAAGAAACCAGTAACTCCTGCACCAAGGCCTTATAAGTAACTTCAGAAAGATTTCTGAAGATCTGATTTCTTTAGCTGAAGTGATAAAGGAATCTATCACGTTCTTAGTCATTTGCAACTAGTTGTTCTCATTTCATTTCCATCTTAAATTATGTAGTTTAGGTACTTCTCTTTTCTGGTATATTAAGGAAGGTTCCACATACTTGAGCAAGTTTACAAGCACCTTGAGCCCAAAAGCAGTAACCTGCATTTGCATGCTTGGGACAGCAGCCTCTTTGCAAAGAGCCAGTTTGGTTCTCTCAACATCATGTTCCCCAGAGATTCTAGCTCTTGAAGTGCTTATTCAGACTGGCCCAGGCCCATATAAAAACACACTGCTCCAAACACTCTGCTGCTTCCGCATATCCATTCCCTGGACACAACTAACAGGCTCTTTTAAGACTGCATATACTGGAGAGCATAGTGTAGATACCTAAACGGCTTTGCAGGAAATCAACTCAGATATGGAGACTAATCACTGTTATGCACATTCTTCTTTTCCTTGTGCTACCCAAGTTTTCAATTAACCTCTTGGTAGTGCAGTTGGAGTGAAATGATGCTCAGATCTGCTTAACAGCAGCTTTTGAAACCTTTCAGAAAAAAAATAAATAATCAGAGCCAGATCTAGATATTAAGGCATCTAAAAGGGGACTGAGGCAGCTTTTCAACGCCTAAAGCCAACTGTAAAGTCTTCTGAACTCATCTAACCTGTTAAACATACTGTTTTGTTTTGTTTCTTTCACCAATGTAGTTTTCCATCCTCCCAAGGTCCTGCTTCTGCCTAGGCTTAAATCAGCTCTTATCCTGACCAGACTGCAGAAACTCAAAATTCAGCTACCTCTTAGGCTTGACTGACACCTTCCAATAAGCCTGCTCTTAACCCCAGAGCTCTGAAGGACCGATCTAGCAGCTCAAAGCACACTTACATTGCTTATGAGCACCAGTGAGTATCCCATAAGCCACAGCAATTCATTAAAATACATCCAGAAGAGGTGGTGGCCGGGTTCTCAGCCTCCCTCACTTTTCTGTACCCTGGATGAGGCCTAGTACTCACCCAGGCTGTGGGAGATCTGGGTTCTCTATTTCTTGGCCATGGAGAATCAAATCCTCAACTGACCCTTCCAACAGATGGATTTAATCACCTATGCCCCCAGGCTGGGGGTATGGCTTTTCCTGTACTTTCTTCCCTTTACTGATAATTACTAAATTCCTTTTAGAAAATTCATACATGTATTCAGTAAGAATAAAACAAAAAGGGGGGGAGGAGGAAGCCTGACTATGGCTCAGGGATACAGTCAAATAAATAATTCATCCCTACTTTTTTTTAAGAACTTATGATACTTCACATTACCACGCTTTTATGGTGTAGAGAGTTATTCACAGAAACTACCCAATGTTGTAAAATCAGTTCTAAGCCATGTAACCTCTGTGTGTTGAATAAGCAACTTGGGTCCTGAGTGGTCCTTTAAATTTACTGCAGGCCCACTGGTCAGGTACAGCCCAGACAACATAAGGACATTTGAGAAATCTTCTAGCAGAGAGATTGGACATGGGAGAAACCTTTATTACTTTTATACAGTGTTATTGCTCAATACTTCCATAAAAGCACCAACAGAAACAGACACCAGATTTCATTACCTGTGCAAAATACAACTTTAACTTCTTCCCTCTGAACTGTGTTTCATGCAGCTCTATTCTGGCACGAGCCGCTGATTTGGGATTACTAAAGTTTATCCGCACACGCCTGAAGCTTTTGAAGAGCTGGAATGTCACGCAGTCATCGTAGGCACGGAACAAGCCTTCAAATTTCTCCTGCAGATGGAAAAGAAAGAATGGTGATCATTTACTTTGTGCTCCGTCACATCAGCCTGTGTCAAAGGATCATCTGAAACTTGACAAGTGTTTAACCAAGGGGTTTCAGCCTGTGGCCTTTGGGGGTGAGTGTCCACAGACTAGCGAAGGCTCTGTGAAAAGAAACTAAGGAAAGCACTGGTCTGGAAGTGCTCTGTAAAATGTTCAGGGGAAGGATTCTTCAAATTGAGAACCCAGAAGCTATTGAACTCATAAAAGTTGAGTGAAACTGCAACAGTGGCTTATGGAATGAAGCTGAAAAGGGTGCATGACTGAAAACACCAGACAACTGTGGTCTCATCTGTACAAAAGCAAGCATTGTGCTGAATCACAATGAAGTCAGCAGACAAAGTCAGATTCATTGTAACTGAGCTACATTCACATCAACACAGCAGGGTTATTTGGTATTGCATGTTATGGTTTTTTGATGCTTCTGTCATTTAAATACTTAGCACAGATACACTCATTTCTTGAGAGTTCCTGCAGCAGCATGGAAAAAAGCTAGGGAGCTGAAAACAGTCACCTGACCCAAAGACAAATTTCAGGCTTCAAAATGTTTAGCCGTAGAACCACTTTCAAAAGCAGATGACATAAATGTGAATATTTTAATGCTGTAAAGGAAAGGTCTGAGGTGTTGCACATCCATGGACCTAGAGATCAACAGAAATTCAAGGTTCATTAGCAGCCTTGGAGGATCAGACTTTCTCTGCAATTTCTCTTTAAATATGCAAACACAGAGGACTAGTTCCAAATCGTCAAATAAAACCAAAGTATTTACATCAGTTCTGACACACTTGCACAGGTCGTTTCATTCACAAGCATAGATTCATAAAGTATTAAGACTGAAAGGGAGCAGTTACTATGTAGTGTCTACTTTGTGTCTACTCAGACTTTCGACTGCCATCCAGTGAGTCTCACATGAAGTTCTAGCGTTTTAACTACTATAACCAAGACTTAAAGTCTTTGAAGATGGAGAATCAGCCTGAGCAAAGCTCTTTGTTTTAAGGGTTCTTTATCCTGAAAATGAAGTGTTTGAGATGATTTGCCACACCATTTCATACACTGAGCACTGTTACGTCAGCCGTTTGTAGAATTCCAACAACCTGATGTTTTCTTTGATACATCTGCAAATAAGCTTTAAAATATAACTTATTTTCTTCTCACCCAGGAAAACAGTTTATTTTCTCTTTGAGTGGATAAGTTGCTAAGGCTGCATAAGATGAAACAGAAAATGCAATTTATGTAATCTCATCAAGACCTCAGTTCTCATCTGCTGATCGTACAAAGTGAGAGAAAGAATCCAGAACTTCTTAGAAAAATCACAGAATAGTTTGGGTTAGAAGGAACCTTAAAGCTTACCTAATTCCAACCCCCTGCCATGGGCAGGGACACCTTCCACTAGAGCAGGTTGCTCCAAGCCCCGTCCAACCTGGCCTTGAACACTGTCAGGGATGGCGCAGCCACAGCTTCTCTGGGCAATCTCTGCCAGTGCCTCACTGCCCTCACAGGGAAGAACTTCTGTCTTTCAAAGTAACCTCCCTGTGGTCTATGAAGCTTTCATGATTTTCATTTCATCTGACCTCAATCACCCCTTCCTCTTACCACAGGACATACTTCAGAGGAATAAACAAAAAAGAGGAGAAAAAAAGAGAGGAGTGGCTGGTCAAGGGGAATAACGGCAAGAAGCCGTAATACCACAAACATGATGGTGTTGACAGGTATTCAAGGTATTATAACAGAAGTCACATACGCTAAAAATAAGCAGCAAAGTGAACATTTCCTAGTCATGAACATTCCCTAGCCCCTTGTAGTAACTATCAGTTTCCCTACAAGTCAACAATAAAATCATTCATCATATAAAAAAAAATTCACCAACCATGGAAGAAACCATGCACAGACTTGTCTGGCAACTGGGAAGTAATTATTTATTATGACTTACTGTTTGTTAGGGTACAGATTCTCCCTCTATTGAAAAAATGGTATTTTCTTGTCTTTTGTGCCTGCCCTCTTTGCGACACTCCAGAATGCAGACCTTGGTGAGGGTCATAATGCAGAAGAAGGGAAGACGTTGAGTTCAAACTTGGGCCCAAGAACAGCGAGCACAAGGAATGTTTTGGGCACATTTCTGGACAATAATGAGACACACTTACATTAGGCACCAAAAGGGATAGATGGGAGTATCTCTAAATAAAGCTGATTAAATACTGGACACCAAACGTAATACAGGGAGAACATTAAAGTGCTATGGGCTTTATTCTGCTTACTTTTCAGTTTGATACTGGCACAGCATTAGAGATTCAGCTTTGATTAATGCTCCAAAAAATGCCGTGGGGAGCAGGGAAATCAAGGCCTCTATTTGATACTAATACAGGGCAGTCTGTCCACAGTGGGACGCACCTACTGCACTGACTGAAACTGCATCTCCCATTAAAAAGATTCATACATCTGAATTTTTCTTCATTTTCAGCTGATAATAATAATGACCTCAGCAGAGGTCATTAATCATCAACTGCAATTAATGGCCCTCAGCTGCATTTAGAGCCATCCAAGCTCCTCCTAGCTTGATATTAATTCCCAGGAAATGCCTTATGCCTTAATTGCTATTGCCTGTGATTTCTAATATCTGTTGCATGTACTTATCTGGATAAAAGTCTTTCAGACTCATTCCAACCTATAAGAAAATGTATCATACGCATTTTAAAAGACCTAAGAAAATTCTCTCCCTTTCAAGTTTTGTGAATAAATTATTCAAGACTCATAATCCTCTCAATTCAGGACTTTTAGGATTCAGTATTCTTTAAATACTTCTAGAAAATGTGTCTCTGAATGTTCAGAATACTTAGAAAACTCTTGACAATAAAGCAATGTCCGAAGTTGAGCAGCAGCATTGCTACTCTTAAAAAGTCAAAATGCAGAAAGTCATGAGATAGGCATTTGTGGGATTTTGGACTGTCTCCATTCATCCCAAGTGTGTCTCTGTGAGACCTGATTTGCTCTGGCAAATGCAGTTTGTTTTCAGTTGACCAGTTCTGCAGAAGTTTTCTCTCTCATAGGCTCCGAGCCATCTCTTCATCTTGCTATTCCTTTGCTAACACGAGGCACCTTTCCCCAGTTCTTCCCTGTCACCTTCCGTCAGCTCTCATCACCCATCATTCACCACCTCTAGCAGTTTCTAAAGTTCTTTTATTTTTTCATTAACAGAATTAGCACAAAGTGCGCACACACTAATTGAGGCTGCTGGTTACTCAAGCTTGACTGTTATCATTTATGACAGCCAATGCAAAGGACAAACAGAGCACCATCCATGGAAGAAATGAGCACTGGTGTGATAGACATGAGCTAAAAGCTTCAGAGCACAAGGGCAAAGCTATGCACTCCTGGACTAAAAACCATCGGTACTACTAAAGGGGAGCTCACCTGGGATCCAAGATCCTGTCAGTCACATGATAGAAGTCATCAGTGAAATGCAGCCGTAAGGAGGCAAACAAAATACTGAATGTATCTGGAGAAGTATTTCCAGTAAAGCAAGGAAGCTATTGACAACATTGTATAGAGCACTATTACATGTTATTAAAAATGCAGGGTTTGTTGCCTGTATCCCAGACAGATTAAGCCAAACAGGAACAGACTCAGATAAAGGCTACAGGGAATGAAAGACTTACTGAATAAGAAATGAAAATGCTTGGCTTATTTAGCAAAACAAAGCAAAAACTGAGAGGAGATGGGACAATCATCAGTAGTTTACCAGAACTGTACAGAATAAAGACAAAGTATACTGTGCAGATTACAGACTAGGAGACTATGTCAGCATGAATCAGGTGGAAACAATTTACATGAACAGGTGTAGCTCAGAAGTTAAAGAAGGTTTCAAACATCAGAGTATTGATCCAGAAACAAACTTCCAATCGCAGCAGTGTGAAGAATGATTTTTTTATAAAGATTGAAATCAGTTAGTTGATGGGAGGGACTATGACAAAGTATCCCAACAAGCATTGTAAAACATGACTGCCTGAATTAGCAAGTGAATTGGGTTCTGACACAGCAAGTTCCTGTGATGTATTTCCAAACATTTCTTTCATGAATAGCTCCACTGGTATTGTGTTAATTCAGGACAAAAGCCAAGGCCTAATTCAATTCAATGGAAGTCTTTCCACAGACATCAGCGAGTGTTGGATTAGAGCCCTATAACTCAGAACACAAATTACATTTTATTATTCAGTGTGTTTACACTCATTATCACCCTTGTTACACATTTGATTTAGGAGATGGCTGTGATTTAAAACTTTCCTAGAGTTTTGCAATCAAGGCTGCCTGGAAACCTCACAGCAGCCTTCCTGGATCTGAAGGGGGCCTATAAGGATGCTGGGGAGGGGTTCTTCATTAGGGACTGTAGTGATAGGACAAGGGGTAATGGGTTAAAACTTAAACAGGGGAAGTTTAAATTGGATATAAAGAGGAAATTCTTTACTGTGAGGGTGGTGAGGCACTGGAAAGGCCTACCCAGGGAGGTTGTGAATGCTCCATCCCTGGCGGTGTTCAAGGCCAGGTTGGACAGAGCCTTGGGTGGCATGGTTCAGTGGGAGGTGTCCCTGCCCATGGCAGGGGGGTAGGAACTGGATGATCTTAAGGTCCATTCTAACCCTAACTATTCTATGATTCTACGATTCTAAATACAGCAAGCATTTTTCCCATTTCAGTTTTTCCTGTTCATTTATATGAAGATAATACAAGGAACTAAAGGTATACGACAGAGAAACAGTCATAATTTACAGTTATAGAATAATAGAACAGTTTGGGTTGGAAAGGACCTTAAGATCATCCATTTCCAAGCCCCCTGCCTTGGGCAGGGACACCACACACTAGACCATGAAACATGTTTTTCTTGAAATTAGCTCTGTACCACATACATATTTGCCTTTAAGAAATAAACTCATACCTCAGAGTGGAATGTGGTCTGTTTA